CCACCGAGGCCAGGGTCCCTGAGGGAATGTGCCAGGCCCCCCAAAGGGCTCCACTCTCTCCTTGTATGGGTGCAAGCTGAGGAAATGCTGAGTCCCTCTGGCTGCCTCCCCTGAAATGGGTGGGAAGATAGAGGGGAGGGCTGGAGAAGGAGTTCTGGGGAACGCAGCAAATTGAAAATTGACACTAGCACCTTCCTTCGCGATGCCATACAGAAGTTGTCAGACCCCGCCCTGAAGAACTGAACTGCCTTTGCCACTCCAGGAAGCTGAGCCTATCTGAATGCCCACCACTCTGCATCTCTGCATCCAGGCTTTAGTCCTAAGGCACAGCTTTCCTGGGCCTAGGCAAAAAGCTGGAATAAGCTTCCTGCTCTGTGCCCTACCTAGAAACACTCAACGCCCATCCCTTCCGTGTCTCTTCTCTGGTTGGCAACTCTGAATTTCTTCTTACAAGACAACATGCAAAATACTCCCCATTATCTGTGCATCTTATTGTAGTGAAAAGGAAGAGCTGGGAAAATCACGAGGAGATGCTAAAAAGTAGTAGGATTGATCTTAATAAAATCCATCTATGGCTTTATGATCGCAGGAGAGAGCACCATAATAGTGTCAGGAGGGGACTCTGGGATACAGTGTTCTTAGAGGCCAATCTCTCTGTTGCTCTGGGCTCAGATCCATCTCCTTCAGTCTAAACCCAAGAGCGCCAGCTTTCCTTGGGCCTGCCATTATTCTTGCTCCTGCTCTGCCTGGCAGAAGCCTCCCCTCGCTGCGTGCCTCTCACGCCTGTATCCTAATTTAATGGTTGCTATGTGCATCTGCTCTACTGTATTTTTTCTCGAAGCCTTTTGTTAAATTAGGCAGGGCTCCGCACAATTGGCAAAATGAAATGTAATTCAAAAATAAGCATTAAGCTCTTCGTGTTTATTACTTTAGTTGCTGAAGGATACAAAGGCATCCTACCTGCTCACATTTCCAAGGGACTGAGAAAAAATGAATACTGCCCCAGTCCCACCTGTAAAGATGCTTAGCTCCCATACATTTTTTAGCCTGAAAATTTTTAATTAGAACATCTTACCTTGGACAAAGAATATATCACTAGTTTTATCAGCTATAGTGAAAACAATATCGGAAGAAGAGGTATTACACAGACAGGAGCGGGAGACAAGACTCCTTCAAGAGGTCATGGGTTGCAAAGCTGAGAGAAGTAATGGTTCAGACAGGGGTTAGGGGATGCTGGGAGCACTACCAGTACTTGGGGGATCACCACCAGTACTAGGGGGATCACCACTGCTCTCCTGGGCTCCACTAGCCTCTATGACCAAGAAAGCTAAGGAAATGCCCACTAGTTTTAATAATGTTTCTCTTTCAGATAACAAATCTGAGTTTTCTCTGCACACATGATCCTGTGGACCGTGATGTTTAGATCCAGAATGAACTGCTGGAAAGGCTCTCTTATGAGTGGTATCCCATATAGGGCTGACAGGGAGGTCCTGTGCTTAGGACTCCTTCCACTGTGAGGATACAGTGGAACCTGGTCAGCGGGCAGCTCTGAGGTCATCCCAACTGCTCGGTGGAGTGCTCAGATCTTCTCAAACACCCACTGGTCTGATTTCTTATCAGAAAGTGAGGACAGGGCCATTGTTACACTTACTAAGGAAAGGTGGCTTGAGACAGGAAGTGTTATTGAAGACTTTGAGAATGGAGAGAAGTGCACAAGATTCCAGATGGGAAGAGGATATTTGAGGCCAGTAAAGAAGCAGAGATAAGCTGAAGTGAGGACACTGAGTCTTGTGCTTCTGAAGAAACAAGTCAAAAAATGCTATTGTTTAAGAGGCTAGCTTTCTCCTAGTAAAACCATCTGAGGACCCAAAGACCAAGGTCTACACTCTCTTGTTACAATGGCTCCCAGTTTAGTCTCAGTGTCAGAAGAAATGACCTGAATTCACAGACTTGTGAGTCAGGGAAGGGACTGCAAAGGTCTTGTCTGTATATTACTCTTTATCTGTCTACACCATTGGGGGTAGGTCAGTGGTCCATTTATTCGTAAGACATTGCTATGGACTAGTAGAGTGTAGGGCTGAAGCATAAGTTTAAATGGGAAGAAGAAACAGAGTTGAGCTTTACAGTTGAGGCTCACATGATTAAAATAAGTTTTTGCCAGAAATATTTTGTGAAAAGCTTTGGCCAATGACAATGATAGTACAGACTCATAATTATACCTTCTTGGATATATGAATTTATATGTAAAGATAAATTATCACAAATTGGAAGACTGGTTTTGGAATTGTGTTTTCTGTTTAAATACTGAGTCTTCACATCTCCATCTGTGCAGTTCACACCAAATAGTACCTATGTCATAGGGTAGTGAGCAAGAATGGGCTAAGTGTATCCAGAACTGTGCTTGATGACAAGGGAGAGCATTACCAGCATACAGGCCCTTAAAGGAAGAGTCTATTATTATAGTCCCTAAGAGAAGGGACACATTACCCCAGTGTTATGTCCAGGGTTGGTCTGGAGATAAAGTAAGAAGAAAATATGGCAATAGGCTTTATTATGCTCTCCATGGCAGGGGCTAGGCAAGGAAGAATGGGGAAACTGGAATGCTTAGAGGTGGATAATATTTTGGCAGGCTATTCGGGTGATGTCAAGGGATCCTGAGCTTGGCCCTTGCTTAGGGTAAGAAATGGCACCGTGTCCTAAGAGGATTAGACAAAGAAAATGGTTCTTTCATTCAGAAATAAGGCAATCCTAAGAGAGCCAGTATCTCTAGGAATAGCAAAGGTTCATCTAATACAAGTGTGAAGGAGATTTTGATTAACCCTAGCAGCAGTTAATGCTCAGCAGGCTGGGAAACATCAACATACTGTATGGCTCTATAGCACAAGACTTATCTTCACGTAGTAACTGTGACATGGGAGAAAGGTGGGAGGGCAATGGACAAAGGAGAGCTTCAAGTGGCCTATGCAGATCTGTTACTTATTATGTATGACAATATGTAACAGAAACACAAAAGATAGTTCCAGATTTCAGGAACTATCCTCAGCACTAGGCGAGGAGATCTCTGACTACCTGGAAAGAAATGGTTCTGAACAGCTGGGGAAAAGGAATCCTGGCAGAGGAGATTTTGAGAGAAACGGGGAAAAGAGAAGCAGAAAGGAAGAAAGGCTGTAGAGAGTCCTAGTTAAGAACTCCAGTGACAGGTGGCAACTTGAACCAGCAGGTGGTATCTGCAGCCTACAGATAGAATGGTCCAGAGAAGCTGGGTACCAGCAAGAATCATCCCGAGAAGAAAAGGCAGTCACAGCCTGATGATGTTGGTTAAACTGGATGACATAAGACAGTGAGTTGGCTTACCCACTGTTTTCCTACTTAGGTGAAGACCGTGCTTGGTGGTAGAAGCTCAGCCAAGTCTTGGATAAAGCAATGCAGTGGAAGTGTGTCCATGACTCGTTCCAAAGAAAGGAGTGTCAGTCAATGAAAATGAGGGTGAAGACTGTTTGTCATTCCAACTTCTGCTCAGAACCTAAATAAGACCTGACTGTTGATACTTAAAGGCATCAATGCCCTGCTTTAGCTGATCCATTCCTAGGTGCATGTGTGCTTGCATGTATGCATGTGTGTATGTTTTATAAGTGGTAATACAGGCTGTGCAAACTGCTTCTTTTCCTTGATGAATCACACAGCAGGAGATAACCAAGGCAAATGAAAAACAAACTAATTTTTAAAATGACAAAAACCCTCAACTCTGGAGGAAGTATATAGGGTTATAATTCAGTAGGCAGGGTACATGTCTACTACACAGGAATTCCTGGATTTGATCCCAGCATCACACGATCCAGGCCAGGTAGCACTTGCCTGTGATCTCAGCATGAGGGAAGTGGAGGAAGGAAAATTAGAAACT